TTGATTGGTTTATCCCGTTTAACTATAAGGTGACAGCTTTTTTTGTTATATTTGGAAAACGCAGTAAAAGATATCGAAGGAGCAGATAAATTATTTTCTGTATGAAACGACTTCTGTTGCGCTATACACCGTTACCTTTAAGGTGACTTCTTTCGTTATACATTTGTATATCGAGAGGTAGTTATGTGTTACCTATCAGGTGACCAAACAGACGGACGTTTTAAAAGAGCTTAATTTTTCTCTCTTCTAAGGGTTTTATGGGATTGTATTTCCGAGTTATTGGATTCTTTGCGTGACTTGTCTTGGTGAACCGTTGCCTATGGTGACGACGCCGGATAAAGAAATAGCGAGTTATTTAGTACCTCTGATCCAATCGTATAAAACTTGTGGAAAACGACTAAAAGTATTGCGATTGTCGTTCTACTTTTGTCGACGATACCTTTTTCTTTGTTGTGTGGATCCCCGTACGTAGATTTTAGCGATAATTGATCTTCTTTTAGACGTTACGATTATCGGTTTTTATCGCGGAAACGCCGTTCTAGAATATATTTCGAGATCAGCGTTTTCGACCTAGTGTCCTTTGTATAGTATTCATGTATACAGCCGGGGGAGAGCAGGTATTGCAGCGTGGTTTTATTACAGGTATCATTTTGTAATTAGTTATGTGTTTAAAAGGGGAACAATTCTTATTTGGGTAAAATTTAGTAAATAGTAATTATTAAGTTATGTGGGTAGTTTTTTTTGCATTTCATTGTCAGTGAATTTCATTTCATAGGACAATAATTAATAATTAGAATTACGGTCATAAAAATCAATTATTTTAAATCCAGCCACAACAACTAATAAACTAAGCCCTTCTGGTTTATGATCATAAGAATCAAGTGTCAAAGCCCTTTATTATTTTAGGGTTTGGGAAACCAATAACCTGCTTTCGTGGCTATAAATTGTCGTCTTTTGCGTTCATTTAGATGATAGACAGATGTTTGAATTGTATTATATTTATTTGTCGAGTCCTATTGTTAAGTAAAGTACGGTAATAATATTTTCTTTCATTTTGTATGATGCAAAAGTAGGTAAAGTCATGTCTTACTTCTAAACGTTGAAAATTTACTTTTTTTGGGTTCTTTTTAAGATTGAATATGTACAGAGGCGAGTAACAATATAATTTTTGGTATTATGTTGGGGTAAACGGACATATTAGGCTCATCTGGGCATCACTTTATCACATACGTTTTAGAACTCCGGTATAGTTGTTATCCTTTTAGAAAAATGAGGTGAGATTGAGGTGGGACTACAGCTTGTGGTTTCGGAGCTGTCATTTATAGCATTAATTTGTCGGTAATTAGAGCAAAAGAGCCTTGCGCCGAAAAAGAGCCTTCAGCCACCCATAGTACGTGCAGAACCTCAATAGTAGGGCCTAAAAATGGTACATTTTCTCACGTCTGTGGAAATAAAAGCCTGATAGAGGCTAGGATGGATCTTAAGAAAAGGTACCCCAAAAGTGAGCCTAACGGGCATCCCCCTTTATATCAGGTGTTCTGTTGTCGTACAGGTTATTGTTATATATGCAGTACTGAGCACAATCGTAAAATACGGTATTGAGATATCAGTGGAAAGGTGTTACGCAAGATGAGGTTAAACTTCTTATTTACATAATTATATCCATATTCATATCGCGCCATACTCTTCGTGATACCGCTGAACTTCACTATATCAGACAATACGTATGCAGGGATTATATTAGTAGTGTGTATGATTGTGTATTATAAAGGGATAACAAATATGCTGTAGTACTGTCATCATACTTTCACCGGTTTATGGGAGCTTAATATTCCTTTGGTTAGAAGTGAGACATGGAAAAGGCCACACATGTGTTATGTTAAAATAGACAAACATTATTGTCAACTTCCCGCTATAAGAAATAAGTTTAAATAAAACTATTCTTAATCTATTTTTGTGTTTGTTTTTTTGTTCCTCCATTACAGCTACATTGAACTCTAAGCGAAATTTTGGGGTCCTACAAAAATCACTTCGTGGGGATCTACTAGACGAAATTTAGGCCAAGGTTATAAGTATTTGTAAAACTAAGTTAGGACCCGGTTTGTCAGGTTACAGTACCACACAACCATTTTCATTCGGAATACCACTCTTTCCAAAATTTTTGCACAAACACTTTGTCTCTTGACTTAGTTTATTTTTGCTTACATTTAGTAGAGGTTCAGGTTTTGGCGAATTTAAAAAGTCTTTTTTATCCTCACTTCGCCATCTACAGAATGGCATCTCTAATAGCATATATACTGGAAACATTTTTAGAAAAATCGAAAAAAACGTAATAGTCACAATTGACCAACCAACCATTGTATAAAAATAGTCCCGACTGGAAGAAGCAAACTGAATCAACGCTTCAAGTGCATTAATCGGCTAGATAAAACGGGCCGTTACCATGGCAACCATCATAAACGAGCCGATAGAAGAGACACGTGTTCGGCGGTTTTATGCATAGCGCATCAAGCGCTCCGCTCGCTCGTATTAGGAAATCTTTCTATTGTATTATTATATTTCCAAAAACAAGCGAGCCCGGACGGTCGGAAATTTTAAACCAAGCGCCTCGTTTGTTTCATGCAGTGGTCCAGATACTCCAAAATTAGGTACAGTTTTGTAGGTTCCTGTAATTTGTATAGAGACTACAGAAAGAGAAATATTTAGCTATTCAGTTGATTTTTTTATTAATTTCTACTGAAATTTTGATGAAGCAGCGCGTCACCTGCGTCATCTAGCGAGCCGCCACTGAACAACACGTCTGTATAAGCATACAATGTATCAAACAAAGAAACAAATTAACGATGAAACTCGAAGCAAGTCCTAAAACTACTTACCAATTTCTCAACTCTGAATAAATTCATTATTGAATACTTTTCAATGAATTTTAGGCACCTGAATACGAAATAACTAACCGTGTTGAAAAATAAGCAATGCTATGAACAACCTCGACGTTGTTTTTATTATTGAACGGCCACAAGAATTGAAAATCAGTAACAACATTGAGAAATGCACAATAATTGAAAATATTTCAACGTTGTTTACTTTTCATTGGCCACAAGAATAACTCCAAATATCCATGTGGGTGTAGAAAAAATATATTTTTTTAGTATAAAAAATAATAGTATGTGAAACACTTTTGAAATGCCCAAACCTTGAGTAATAAGACAGTACATCGCGTATTCGCTCCGTGCGCGACAGCAGCGCCAATTCCTTTTTGGTTATTAATGGACTATTTCTGCGTATACTGACAAATGCAATTTTTAATAGAATTCGTAATTAAAAAGTATATATGTTAGTTTTAATAAAAGTATATGGATTTGTAAAACAAGCAAAACATTAATTTATTATTATTTTATATTTTTATCTCTTAAATTAAATAAAATTATGTATAATCAATAAAAATGAATAATAAAATATAGGCAGGCAACAGTATTTACTGGAAAATGTATGAGAAGTTGCCTAAGTCTAATAAGTTGTCATTGAAGAATTATTCTGTCAAAATAAAAAATACCATTTAATAATAGCGTGAAGTTAAAATGTATAAAAAAAGGATCGTTATTTATATTTTCATTTTTGTTGAAAACAGAACATAGAATGAATGATTAAAACTGGTTTCCCATCAGTAAGTTACAAAATTGTATTCCAGCCACATATAATAATAATCAAATGCAGAAATCTTGAAATCTAGTCCTTGCTGAATGAACATTTAAGAATAAAGGGATATTAAAGAACATCGTAAAATGATAATTTATTATTTATTTAAAACCTTTCAAGTTTCTGATGTCTACTATTTCCAGCATTACTGTTATTATTACAAAAATAAAGGTAATTTTTCTTCTTATTGTACTTCATCCATTTATTTCTTTGATTTAATTTCTACTTTGCTACTGAAATTTTTTATATAAGTTTCACTGTTTTTTTTTTGCTAGTATTTGTACAATTTTCAACACAGCAACTCCGGTTGCTTACTGTATTGTTTTCACCTACTTTTTTGAAAAAAAGTAAAATGTATACGTGTATTTGATATGCCAAATTTACAAAATATCGCCCTAAAATGCACGAATTATCCGCAGCTAGCGCTAGTATCGCTTTTACTTTTCTTTCCATGACTTCGCACGGAGCGAATTACCTCCAAAATAAAAAAATATCGTACTTTTAGAACCGAATTATTGATTTTATATAATTATCAAAATCATTTGTAAATCATGTCTAATAAGGTTCGAAGGAATTTTGTTCGAAAGTTAATTTGTTCGAAAACATTTTGTTCGAAAGTTATTTAGTTCGAACACAATTTATTCGAATATCTAATTTGAGAAAATATCCTTTTATAGACAAATTTAGTGAATTTCGAACATGGCTTTGTAAAGCCAAAAATGCTCGCTTATTTTTATTAATTATTTATACACCTATATGTGTATATTTTTTTTAACTCTAAAGGACTAATTTGTAGGAAAAGAGGGCTTTTGTTCTAATGTAACTAATTGAAAAAAAATTAATATTATTTTATATTGGATTCAAATTTAATTTTTGTCAAAGTTGATTTAAAAAAGTTTTAAGGGTTCGAGGCCGAACAGGTTAGGTAAATGTGTTCTTTTGTTTTTAATTTTTCCTTTTTTGATAGTTCTCAGTATTATATATAAAGAATTTAAATTTAAATGGTCTAAACATGACTCTCTAAGTAATCTTGTATATTGTTTTACGTAAGAAATGAATTATATGTATATCAAAGTACCACCTTGTTATTATTTATTTTACAATGAGGAATTTGCAACTTTTACTGATAATCCTTTTATTGAAAATAGTAAGTCAAAACGAAATATCTCCCAAGTGGTTTTTATCAAAGAACGGATTTATAATTTCGTAAAAGTTTAAAGTATCGCCCTATAGGTACTTTTAACATTATAACGCTTATTACATCATGATTATCATGCACTCCCATTATGCGTTCGTTCACTTACTTTGGTGAGTTTTTTCTTCCTGTGCCAGGAGTAGAGCAACGAGACTAAATAGAGCAGCATTATGATGAACCCGCCTACCAGGGCCGATAATTTGGATGAGCCGTAGACGATGGCGTGATACAAGCCGAGGCTCACTAAGAAGATAACTATCCCTGTCGCCAGGGCTCTGCCGGTTCTGCGATGTTCTTCCTGTAATTAAAGCGAGAGTTCAATTTAAAGGATCCATAGGCGTTCGTCAAACAGACCGTCAAGGTTGAGTATAACAATAGATTATTTAAATTTCAAAGTGGTTCGAAGTAGATTAAGAAGAAATGAGAAAACACAAAGTCTGTCAAACATAAGGTCTTTAATTAGATTTTTTTCAAATAGGTTAAAGCTTGCAAGCATTTTTGACCTTATAAATCAAATTATAGATAGAACAATCTAAAATAACTTAAAGTTAGATAACTAAATTTAAAATTAACTAAATATCTTACCACTAGATAAATCCATAAATTTGATCATTGAATATATATAAAAATTACTAAGTAGAGAACAGTGATGGGAAGGAATACATTTTTGAATTTGTTTTGGTTTCATAAAATCTATTTTTTGCCTTTTAGTTAACTTGTGTAATATTTGTGTTTTTTTGAAGTCTGTTTTTTATCTTATACTTATATTAAATAAGTTATTTCTTATTTTATTCCACGCCTAATTCTCAATAATCTGTGGCCACGTATTATAAAGTCCTCAAAAGTATTTAGAAAATTCCAAAATAACTGGTTGTTCCAGTCCTTCCTACCTCGGCTCCCGTCCCGTGGTATTCAGATTCAAATTTTCGCGCGCCTGTCAATTATTACCTATAAGTAATATGTTTGTTTGTTTGTTTGTTTGTTTGTTTGTTTGTTTGTTTGTTTGTTTGTTTGTTTGTTTGTTTGTTTGTTTGTTTGTTTGTTTGTTTGTTTGTTTGTTTGTTTGTTTGTTTGTTTGTTTGTTTGTTTGTTTGTTTGTTTGTTTGTTTGTTTGTTTGTTTGTTTGTTTGTTTGTTTGTTTGTTTGTTTGTTTGTTTGTTTGTTTGTTTGTTTGTTTGTTTGTTTGTTTGTTTGTTTGTTTGTTTGTTTGTTTGTTTGTTTGTTTGTTTGTTTGTTTGTTTGTTTGTTTGTTTGTTTGTTTGTTTGTTTGTTTGTTTGTTTGTTTGTTTGTTTGTTTGTTTGTTTGTTTGTTTGTTTGTTTGTTTGTTTGTTTGTTTGTTTGTTTGTTTGTTTGTTTGTTTGTTTGTTTGTTTGTTTGTTTGTTTGTTTGTTTGTTTGTTTGTTTGTTTGTTTGTTTGTTTGTTTGTTTGTTTGTTTGTTTGTTTGTTTGTTTGTTTGTTTGTTTGTTTGTTTGTTTGTTTGTTTGTTTGTTTGTTTGTTTGTTTGTTTGTTTGTTTACATGTGTTTTTTTTGGGCGGGATTTTGTATTTATGATTTTTTAACTGTTTTTAGATAATATTCTCACTATTGGTGTTTTAGAGTTTCATTTATTGTTAATTTAAGTTTAGTTTTCGTGCTTTCGTCATAAATATAATATCATGTGTATGCTACACCTACTGTAGCTACACGAACATCTACAAATATTTATTTACTAAACCCAGGACATGTTTTATTATGTGGTTTAAAAGTAACCAGTTTCTATAATAAATTTTCGTAAAAAAATTCCTGAAAAAAACCTCAATTTTACAGGTTATATATACAAAACATTTACTCTAGATGACAAATTCAGTCTTAAAAATTACAATGTGGCAAAGTTGATGAAATTGTAGTTTCAGGATTATTTAAAATTTATAAATTACGAGATTATAAACAACTAGAAGACGAAGACTTCTCGTGCGGCCTGGAATCTATACAAATATTAACTAATTTACCTAACCTGTGCGGGCTGGAGACATCTCGAATTGTTTCGCGAAAAATTTATACATAAAATGAGAAAATTAAAAACAAAATGTGTATTTTCGAGCTACACTTTATCGAACAAAACAATTTTCGAACACCAACTTAGATATTATTAGACAATAATTTTATATTCAAGTGTTTGGCAACGTTGCAAACTCAAGGACCGTATGTGTCAACAATTGACAATTTCATGAATTAATTTGATTTATGTTTTGTGGAAGGAAATTAGGCATTCCAAACAAATGAATTGCCAGTGGGAAGGTTTGGTATATCTAAGGGTGGCGACATACGTTGTATTCTATCTACTTTACGTAAAATCATGAATAATGGATAACATTTAAATATTTTATGTCAAACACAATAAAAATAATATTTATAAAACCCACCTATACATTCCTTCATAAATTGGCGACTACTACTTCGAATAAAAATAGCGTCCAAGTTGCAAGATTATGTCGCTACCCCCCTTATATAAACAAGAATTTCCCACTGGCACCTATTGTTTGACAGGTCGTTGGAATGCCTAATAGTAAAATGATTCTAAAAGTTAGGTTAAAATGACAAAAAATCGCATTTTATTATAATATAAATGAAAATAACAAGTGAAATATAATTTTACAAATGTAATTTCAGTTAAAACATTATAAAAACTAAATTACTTCAATATACTAGTGCTTAAACTTCGAAATTACCACCTCAGAATAGTAGGATGAAACCCCATATAGATTGTAATTTGCTGGGGGCTGTTTCGCAGATTTCATTTTTAATATAAAAACTATCACATATTATAAGAAATAAACAAATTTAAAGCTAAAAAGTAATACAAAATTCGAATTGTAATTGATACAAATTAAAATTTAAAAAAATGAACAAGAATACCAATGTTACCAAATGATAAACTGATCACAGAACACTTACTCTTAGAACGGTACAGTGTTGCCAAATAAAAAACAAAAAATATGGTATCCGACACTTAAAAAAATGGTATTTTTTCTGGCAAAAAATGGTATTTTAAATAATCTTAATAACATCAAATAATAAAGTTTTACACACAAATAGTTTATTTGAAATTGCATGATAGCACAATTTTTATGGCAAAGGTCTATATTTTTATATAATTTTGCTAAATAATACATATATTATATTATAATACATAATACACAAATAAAAAATGAAAGTAACATAAAAGTTTTATTTTAAACTATGATTTGAATAAAGTACTATTAAAAGCAAGAGTGGAAGAACAGAGAACAGGCAGTAGGGTCATTATAATCTTACTGAACTGAGCAAATTTGCCAGATTCTCAGTGTATCCTTCGTATTATTTTTTTTTTATTGGTCTTCGCCTACAACAATTTAGGTCATTAGCCTCGTGATCTATGTAAGTAATTGAGTGTACTAGTAGTCTATTATTTATTCCATAGTGCAGGAGTGCTTGTACTCTAATACTCCTGCACCCTTACAAACAGGCCTTGTAACTGTTTCCCGGCGCCACTTTAGGAACGGCACTGTTACTTAAAACCCAACAGTGAATAGTAGAAGTGAGTAATCTTACCTATGATTCAAAATTATTTTTAAGTAAATTAAATTAACAAAAAACGGCCATCGCGCATCGGTGAGATTCGATCCGTGGACCCTTCGATTCGGAAGTCCAAACTCTAGCCACTGAGCCACCCATTCCCTATTAATAAAATTGTAAGTAATTTAGACCTATAACCTATGGGCAAGTATAGTATATTATACAGAGCATGAAGACGTATAGGTTAGAATAAATTCGATATTTTTCTGTATTTCTGTATTTTAACGAAATACTTTCAGGTCAATTTTTATTTTTAACTGCGCGTCTTACTCTACAAATGGATGTACTAATAACATCAACACTTTCGTTTACATGACGTCATTGATTTTTTTTTAGAACAACATGTTTTTCTCTTCTTTTTTGAATTCCCCAATAAGATGCCGCTTTTGAAAATCCACACGCGATGCATTTTTTACATCTCGAGCGTTTGTTTATCCACATCGGACACATCTGTCCCAATACATTTACGTATATGTACTGAATCACGTGATCAAAGATTTACTACATCTCAGATGCATCTGATGTGGATATTCAAACGCGGCAATAGACGATTACAAAAATGTATCTATTATCGGGAAATTCAAAATTGAAGAGAAAAATACCCAGACAACACACCAAATCCCAGAGATATCCACAGAATATCTTTTGTGGATATCCAATATATCCGCAGGATATCAGAAATATTCCGTGGATCTAATATGGATATCCAAATGTCCGTCTATATCCAGAATATAGAAGATATTCTATGGATTATCCAGCAAAATATCTAATAGGTATCTTCCAGACAATACAAGAAATCCCAGAGATATCCACAGAATATATTTTGTGGATATTCAATATATCCAATATGGATATCCAACCAAATGTCCGTCTATATCCCAGGATATAGAAGATATTCAGCAAAATATTTTATGTGTATCTTTAGTAGAGGTTCATAAGTAACCAATGATTATTGAATAACGTCGAAAGAAAATAGCAGAGATAAAAAATATTTTCAACACTCGAAATATTTTCAACACTTTGCCTTTGATTTTGCCCACTAAGGAGAAAGTCATCCTTATTAGGACTCTTCAGCAATAAATGAAAATTCTCGACTCCAGTCTCTAATGGAGTCTGATTAGGACACAAATTTCGATCGAACTCAATTACGGTGGGTCGAGCATGAGTAGATGAGAAAGTGGTATTGCCATCTATACTTAGTAAGCAAAATCAAATAACATCTAGTGGATATCCACGATGGTTTGCTTTCGCGCCCCAGACTTTGATATATTTAATGGATGTCCATGGGATATTGAATAAACCTTAAAAAAATTAATTTTAAATAACTGAACGATACTATTAGCCACAATGGCGTAATTTTTTAATAATTTGCTATATAATTACTATTATTTATGGACATTTGCATGTCTATAAATTACATATCATGGATATAAAATAGATATCCACCATGGACTGGACATTCAGTGGATATTGGGATGTCCAGTAGATATCCAAAAGATTTGGTGTGCTGTCTGGGTACGTTTCTCTAGTAGAAAAAAATATCGATGATATTGTAGCCTGAAACGTGCAGTTGACCTGTGAAAGCATTTTGTTAAAATACTACTAGAGAGAAAAATATTCCAACTCACTGCGACCATTCTTGTTACTTGTTAGTAGAGTAGAAGATGTACAGAGTGCTAGCTCTTACTCGTATTATTATAT